GGGCGGGTGATCCTCCCGACTCCACGTAATGGGCTGCTCATACCATCGCAAGTATCGAGGAACTGTTGGCTCAACGGCGTTCACTGCCCTCTTGTGAAGTTTCTGGTCCCGCTTACATAAACTTGTGGTGAAAACATGATAATGCCCACCGTTCAATTGCTTTGGATGACTCTCATACCCGGACTGCTGCTGCTGTTGCTAACCCCCTGGCCAGATTGTTGATTGTAGCCGCCTTGACTACCTTATTGAAATTGCCTTGATTACTCTGGTGGCCCTGAAAGCTGGAACCAGAGCCGCCACTTCCATTGTTCGGGCCATGAAAGTCGCCGCCTCCTGAACCGCCGCCCAGCCCATGATTACCATCAAATACGTTGGAATTCTTGAAAGCCCTCATGATAGTGCAATCCTTCCATAGGTGAGTAGCCGACTTCTCTTGAGTGTCGTGCTTCGGGTAGGGTTCATTTAACAACTGCTCGAGAGTAGGACCTGACCCGCCAGATCGAGGAGGTGGCCTCCCCTTACGCCGCTGATTGTTGCCCTGTGCATTGGTGTTAGCCACAAACTCTAAGCTACCATCAGCCTTACGTTTATTATTGCCTCCTTGATTTGCCGGGTTAGGCTGAGGACCCTTAGCGTTGCTGCTCTTCTTTCCCTTCCCTGCCTTCTCATCGTCAGACTCAGGATCCTTGGTACTATCAGAGTCAGCATATTTGACTAGAGCCGCCATCAGCTGGCCCATGTCAGTGCAGTCACGCTTGAGCCGCCTCAGCTTCATCTTCAGTGGCTCAAAACGGCAATTTTGCTCCAACATTAATACTGCAGAGTCGGCATCCATCTTGTCAGAGGAATGTATTATTTCCTTGACCCGGCGCATCCAATGGGTCATGGACTCACCCTCCTGTTCCTTGCAACTAGTCAGATTCACAATCGACATGGGTTGCTTGCATGTATCTTTAAAGTTCTGGATGAACAACTCCTTTAACTCTGCCCATGAACCAATGGAATTAGGCGGCAACACTTTCAACCAATTACGAGCCGTTCCATCCAGCATTATGGTAAAGTACTTAGCCATTGCAGCATCACTAACTTCCAGTAGCTCCATGGCCATCTCATAACTTTCAATCCACGCCCCAGGCTGTAAATCGGCCGTGTAATTAGGCACCTTACGAGGCCCCTTGAAATCCTTGGGCAAATGCTCATTACGCAGAGCCGACACCAAACAAGATACGCCCCTAGTCCTGGTGACCAAACCTACCTCAACTGACGCAACCAGATAAATCGGTCGGGGCTGATAAGCCACCTCTTGAGCCACTATTTCTACCGCCTGTTGAGCCACCAACTGAGCTGCCTGCTGAGCCGACTGCTCAATCTGCTGATGTACTATGTCTTGATTATGCAAATTAGGAGCCCCACCCTGAGCCAGGTCATACTCGCGTGGCTGATGGCGGCGCTGGGCATTGCTTGAAACGGCCGGCGAGTCTAGGTGCCTGCTATAACTCTTGCTCCGGCTTGGACGTGGGGTCGAATGAATCATGTCTCTACTGTAAGAGTATGCCTCCTGCTGCGCTAAAGCTGTCCGAAGAAGATCTCTGACCCTTCGTGTTTCAACCACCGTCGGTGAATCGCCATCTGCCGGGAGAGCCGCCAGTCGTGCTGCCGCCGCGATCATGTTCTCCAGCGGGTTAGAATAATGACCCGATGGTGTCGGCACATAAGGAGGCGGAGTAGTGTTCAGATGTGGAGGTCCCATAACTTGTGGCTGAACCGGCGTATTGGTCTCGGTTGCTGCGACCCGGTTTACCTCCGGCGGGTTACTGGGGCCTGCTCTGGGTGTCTAAAAAAGGTTCCTAGGATCATAATCCGGAGGCGGACGAGATTGAGTCTTCTGGTACCTTCTCCTCATAACCTCATTTGACGCGTTCTGATCTATTGTGAGATGGAAAGCCTGTGACTGGATCTGCTGAGCTCGAGCGTCCAGAGCTGCCCGCTCTGCGGTCATCCTGACATCTTCCACCGCCAGGTCTTCTTTAGCTTGTGCAATATCAAGCTTCAACTGTTCCACCTCTACATCATGTTGAGCCTGATCCGCCGGGTTGACCATGGCGGTTAACAGGGTCGTCAACTTGTCCATGAGATCCATCAACACCTAAGCCGGCGAGCGCACAGGGCCTCCTTTCCCGGCTGCTGCTATTCCGAAGGTCATCGCCGCCGCAGTTGATGAATTTAACGCAGGTTGGGTACCTGCCATGAAGATTCCAACTCTGCTCGGCGGCTCAAAGGGGTCCGGAATACTGCTGCCATCGGAACACCCCCCAAGCCCGCCATCTTGCAGTTGATAGAACGAAGCCGTCTGACCTGTGGACAACTCACCATCAGAGTAGATGGCCGTCTCACCACCAGAAATAGATCCTTCAGAAAATTCCCCTCCATGGATGCATCCCACGAAGGCACGCCTCACGGCGGGTTGAACCTGGGCGGGTCTTGCACGCTGAGCCGTCTCGATGATGTCGGTGCAGATGTCCGGCTCAGGGCCCGGTTCGCCGATTTTGTCGATGAAGACGTGGAATCCGCTGAAGGGGACCCGGTACCCGTACTCAATTGAGCCGGTGTCGGGGCCCCAGCCTTCATCATCGATGCAGAGCTTGCCGCGATGACTCTTGGTCATCCGACCCACAGCGTATCCTTTGAGCCCTTTGAAGTTGCCCTTCAAGAACTCAAATCCATCGTGCGCTGGCCTCACGGTGGGCGCCAACTATCGTGGAATTGTCATGTCAGATGTCCTAGCGTAAGGACTTAGTCGTGGAGCCATCACAACTAGGAAGCTTAAAGGGGTTAAACGGGACAAAGGACATGAGGTTTATACTGGTTCGGCCCCTTGCAGTGAAGGTAAAAGCCTACGACCCAGTTTTGGGTGGGATTGCTTATGCCTCGATAACCAGGGAGCGAATCCGCTTGACATAGCTCTCGACTTGATGTTACTTGCCCTAAACCGCCGCCGAGTCGTCCCTTTATATAAAGAGGTCGACGCCCGGCGGCTCATAGAGTCCCGACAGGTTCATAAACAGTGTCCGGCTCGGTCTCTCTCTATTTCTGTCTTACAATTCAAGTTACACATACATGGCGGTTTATCTCTACAGGCCTTAAGTCGCCTCTGGGCCTTGGGCCTTTAAGTGAACCGCCATCTTTAAGTGTCTTCGTGGGCTTCGCCATAGGTGTGACCCGGTCCCTCCTGGGCGGGTCATACCTAATAATTATATCCCCAACAGGTAGTACTTCTTTTTCTTCCAATCAATGCAAAGGCCTACTCTTCCAGCATTAGACTTTGTTGAAAACACTTGCGTTGCCCTCATTCTCTATGTTATTAACATTATAGGCCAAGGCAAAAAAAATGATGTTCGTTCTTGGTGTGAATGCCAAAACTAGAAGACCGAATTAATTTCGTCGGGTCGACTTCTTTTCTGGATGACCGAATAACCTCGATAGACTGAATTAGCAAATTCACTGGATGTTATGGCATAATTAGCACAATCCCCAGTCTTTCTGTTTATGGCACAATTCTTGTTGAATACATCTGGTACATACACATGTTGTCTGAAATCTGAAATTTGGTTGCATACATGCATGGGCAGATTCAAGCCCCAGGCAGAAAGGGGCGGCTGCCTGGGGTGTGAGGCCTATCTCCTTCGTATACTTTAGCACTGTAGCTATAGTAAATGCTACAGTCAATGAAGGCTGCCCGGGCCTTGGCCTAGTTCGTCTAGGGCCTGACCCAGTCCTGGGTCCGCCACTGCATACATGAACTCGTTACACATACCCGTTGTCTGAATTCTCCTTCAATACGCATGTGCTGCAATGGTCATGAATTTGAGCTGTAGCATGATATTTGGTATGTACAATCGGGACCAAAGGCAATCCCGTAAAGACCGAAGACCAAATAATGAAGGACCAAGAAGACCGAAAAGACAGGACCGAGCAAAGCAAATAGACCGAACGCCCGTGCTTATCTACACACGTCCTTGGGTCTACGCCCATCTGCCCAAGCGGAGTTTCCATAAATTCACCCCCATGCGGTTGCCCATCATGATGGTGGTGAAGACGTAGAAGGGAAGAGGTCCATGCCCGCATCGTAAGATTTATTGCCCGTGCCGATCCAAGTCGATGCAGTCCACTTGAACCAAGGCCACTTAAGTCTCGGAGCACGCGTAGATTTGTTTCATCGAATAATTAAGCATAAGAGAATTGCCCAGTTACTAAGTAAGGACTTACATCATCAAGGTAGTAACTGATTTTACCATCGTCTGAAAGAAGAAAAAAGGAAGAAAGATTACCCAAATGATTCATGCCACACGTGTGGCACGAAGCAATCTCGCCTGATGTTATTTACAACTAACAGAAAAGAAACCGAAAAAACAAACCCACAGAAAAAACTGAAACTTGCCATCCAAAACAAAAAGTTGCTATGCTTGACAAACAGTGGCATAGCCAGCCCACTAAGTTAGGATGGTACATCAATATAAATATTTACATAAGTTTATTTATTTTCAAAAAAATATTTTTTTACTACACTATATAGAAGCTATGGGGAAATTTCAGGGTGGTCCATGGCCACCCCCTAGCTATGCCACTGTTGACAAATAAAGTTGCCATCCTCGCGTCACTAAGCAAGAACCGTCCAAAATATGTTTCTTTTGATTATAGTATAAGTTTGTGTTACTTACCAGGTGTACCACGTGGTTCCAAAATATGTTTCTACTCTACAAAATATGTGTACTCTCGAAAAAATATACAAAATCTGAAAATTTTGCTCCAGCGTAAAGTACACAGCAGAGTTCATATGAAGCAACAAGTTGGTACAAGGGCCGGTTCCCTGAACACACAAGCAAAATGCCTTCCAGTTAACAGTTCAGTAGTTCAGTGAGACAGTGGCCCGACGCTCAGGAGAAAACATCATCTATAACGGCTATCTGTGGCAAAATTTAACCTAAAAGCAGAGGCTTCTTCTACGAATCTTTCTTGGGCGCCTTCCTCTTCATCCGGCTGAAAGGGCCGACCGTCTGGTCCATGACGTACATGTATATCACCTGGCTCCAGGACCTGTATGATTTCAGACTGTTATAGTACTCCGGCGCAATCTCCTTCACCTTGTGCAGCTTGGTGCCGGGGATCCTGGGGAAGTCGTGGTGCTCGTTGTGGTACCCCACGTGCCACGTCATCAGGTTCAGCGGCCCGTAGTACGAGTAGGTCTCCTGCTCCGGGCTGAACACGTAGTGCTCCGAGATGAAGTGGCCGGCCATCGGGTGCATGCCGCCGCCGAGGAACGTCGACAGGATGAGGTAGGCCAGCGACTTCCAGCCGTAGAGATACACCATGGCCGCGTCGAGCGCGACCTGGATCGTCAGGTTGGTGAACTCCCACAGGCCCGGAGGCTTTGGCTTCAGGAAGAGCGGCCTGAGCGCGTAGAAGAAGAGCTGGAGCACGACCCAGATGGACTTGCTGACGGTGTTCTTTACGACGTGCGCCTCCGTCTGGCTGGGAATGTCCATGTCGATCCCGTCCACGCCTTGGAACCGGTGGTGCTCCAGGTGGTATTTCTGGAATGTCACCGACATTGGGACGCCGATGGGGAGGTTTGCGAAGATGCCTAGCCAGCGGTTCAGGGATGGGGTGGCAAAGGCGAGGTTGTGGCTGAGCTCATGGATCGCGAGGAAGAGATTGTGATTCAGAAAGGAGCCGAAGAAGTAAGCAACCACCAGCATCTTCGACCAGCCTGCGTCGCGCAGGAGCGTGGCAGTCCATAGCTGTAGCGAAACAACTGCGGCTATCTGCAATCAAAGTTCAGACGGATATGAAAATACATCAGTAATAAATTAGAAAATGTGCTGTTTCTAGGGTGTTACTTTCACACAGAAAGAGAGAAGTATCCTGATTCTCCAGCTAATTTTGACAGGACTAATAAATCTCTAATCACACAACTATGAAGAACAACGTCCAACAAAATAAAACAAAACGTTATACAGTTGAAGGACAGGATGATAGGAGCCCTATATTGCCTGCCTACATGGGTCATGAGATCTAAGTTTTGGCATGAGAGACTATCTGTCTGCTTCAAGTTGCCAGCATGCCATGCCAAGGTGCACTAAAAGTCTGCAAGTGAGAAGTTCAAAGACCAATGCAGTAATTGCCGGTCACAGGAACAGAAAAGCACCAATTTTATACATGAAGCGGAAGTCTCATATTGGCAAAACTGCAGAGCAAGACTACCTAGTTGGTTCTGACAATTACCAAAGGAAGGTGCAGAGGCGCAGTCGTGCAGAGCACAATAACTATTTCAGGCACGAAAAGCATGACATAACAGATTCAGGACCAACAAGACAGATTCTGCAGAACTCTTAAGATCAACAAATTGCCACTTTTTTTTGCCAGAATAATGGTAGTAGTAAATACTTTGATCTTAATTTGATTGCCTGCACATAAAGTTGCTGAGTTTCAAACTACACGAAATTTAGTTTGTTGTGCACAACATGTGTATAAAGCATGACATCCATTCTACACAAACTCCTATCATCGAGAGCGACAACACTACAGATTGGACGTGGAGCCCATGCACAAGATGTGGACATGTAACAACCAGGCTTTTCCTGATGCCAAGGAACATTGCATTAAATTGCATCCAATGAAGCTACCACACTGTACGAATATGCTGCACCATACATACTCTTATTTGTTCTCCTGAATTAAAAGCGTAACCGCTCGTTTGTGATGAAGTGACCAGTTTGGTCATGACAAAATCAATCACTACTCTACCAAATAGTACTGACTTTTTAGTTTTTACCAGCTTTATATGGAAGTTAAAACAAGAAAGAAGCTGCAATCAAACTCAAGGTTAGGAATCTAACTGTCTGGTGTTTAAGAAAAACTGAAGGAATAAAAAACAAGACGACCACCACAATGCAAACAAATCCACGCTGAAACCACTAGAGAGCTCGATCTACGGAAGATCTCAATCTGAAAGGAGACTGGGGAATAGATCACGGCACCTTGATGAAAGCGAGAGGATCCGGGCCGAAGAGCTCCTTGATCTGCGGGTACTTGGCCAGGATCTCCCTGCGGCGCGACGCGTGCGGCTCGTCCGTGTACGACCAGAAGAAGTCCGTCGCCATCACGCCTTCCTCCTTCTCGTCGGCGTCCTTCTCGTCGGCGTCCGCGCGTGTCGCGCCCATTGCTTCCTCTCCTCCTCTCCTCCGAAGGCCCAGGCAATGGCGGCTGCTCCTTGGCGGAAGAGACGGGGACGGGGCGAGGGTGGGCGGGAGCTACGCGCTGGCCGGCAGCGTTGATTGGAGAGGCCCCGGCTATGGAGTTGGTCTGGGTGCTCGTTATTTGAGGGAGTCCAGTTCAGGTGGGGGTGCGGGCATGGGAGATGGACGTGCGCCCTGTGCCGGGATATCTGTACGGGACACAGCGTGATGGAGTATTGGAGTTGAAATAGTGCGTTCTTTTCACATGGGGACCCCGCATGTCTCTGACGCCATGGGTCCGGTTTTTTCTTTCGAGGGCTATAAACATGTCGATAACTCCAAAGTGAACTCGAGAACCTCAACTCTTTTGCGGGGTTTTTTTTTTCGGGTGACTCTTTTGCGGTTGATACGGGTCCAATTACTGCACGAAATACTAATTAAGAAGCACTCTGGATCACTCATATCTTATGTGTGTCATTTGTCGCAATATGAGAGTTTTTTTAGATCCGTTTATTTAAAATGTTTTATCTCTTATACCGTGCGTCCGAATTTCATTTTTACCGCTGAATTCCTCACATCGAGATCTTCAAAACTAGACCCATATTGCGAACTTTTATTTCACGGAAAAACTAGACGAAAGAATCACATCGGGAGCATTTTTTTTCTTTCCGAAACTCGCGGAAGCAAAACGGTGCCACCCGCGGAAGGAAAATAGAAAATGTGTTTCTTTCGCAGAGAGACATGACCGTGCCTCTCGCGGAAGCAAAACCATACCTCTCACGAAAGGAAAAATAAAAAGAGAAAACATTTTTTTTTTGTTTCCGGAAGGCACGGCCGTGCCTCTCGCGGAAGCAAATCCATGCCTCTCGCAAAAGCAAAAGAAAAAAGAAAACACATTTTTTCACGAAAAATATTTTTTGTCGAAAAGCTTAGAAAGACAGACGAAAAATCAAAAAGCCAAAAAAATTCAGAAAAACCCATCTAAAAAGGCATAAACACGTGAGAAAAAATAAAAATAAAAACAAAATTTAGAGGAAGCGTCCAAAGCATGATACGTGGCTGAGAGCGCGTCAAGTCCACCCCAAGTGACCCTTGGAGACGCTCCTAAAGGAGCGCTCCTCAATTAGTTGCTCTCATTACTACCTTCTTTTTTCAGTAAACAAGCCAATGGCCTATATGGCTTCAACTTTTGGGCTTCACTTTTTCTCCTTGAAAAGTGTCCTTCTAGGACTTGAGCATATATTCCCTTAAAAAGGACTTTGAGCAGATGATTTTGCAAACGGATTACACAGCGGATCTAATAGCCCAGGAGCCACATACCTTCCCATTTAGGGTTTCTTTTCCCTCGTTGGCGACAGTGGTGAAGCCAACCTCGAGAATCTGTTGGGTCATTGCTAATTTTTTGATTTTTCTCTTCACAGTTTACAGTAGATGCACAATGTTTTAGGATATTTTCCTCAGAAGTTGTGGGGTCAACGAACCTCATAGCCAACACATAGAAACGTCACCGGTGGGCGATTTGCACCGCTGGGGCGAGATTGGTACACTGATCTTTACAAAATCGCCCCCTCTCACATGCGACGAGGGTGTTTTTTGTGCCAGTGTCTGCGGACGGCAGTCTGGTGGGCGAAACCTAGCTCTGTCAGTAGACACTAGTTCTGCATCGGTGGTAGGGAAGAGGTATGAGATTGATCTGGAGGAGATGCTGGAAAACATGGAACTACTTGATGATGAGCTCAATGATGTGGTGGTCGGAAAGGAGGAGGCAAAGAAATTTGTGGCGATCGCGAGGGTCAACACGAACATAGCTTTCAGTTTGTCGGCGTTTTCTGATACAATGAAGTTTATGTGGGGTTTGGCCCAGACGCCTGATGTTTGCTTGAATTACGTCGGTATTTCCCCAAAGAGGAATGGATGATGCAGCACAACAACGGTAGTTATTTCCCTCAGTGATGAAACCAAGATTATCGAACCAGTAGGAGAACCACACAACACCACGTAAACAGCTCCTACACACAAAGAACAGATACTTGCAACCCGACGTAAGAGAGGGGTTGTCAATCCCTCACGGATAAAAGGATAGGTAAAATTGTAGTAGTTTGGATAAATAGATCTCACGGGAATGCAAGATAAAATAAATAAATAAAAATTGCAGCAAGTTATTTTCATATTTTTGGATTAATAGATATGAAAATAAAAGCAAATAAAAATAGATCTCAAAGGCAAATATGATTAAGAAAAGACCCAAGGTCCATAGATTTCACTAGTGGCTTCTCTCATGAAAAATAGCATATAGGTGGTAACACAATTACTGTTGGGAAAATGATAGAAATTCAAATAATCATGATGATATCTAGGCAATGATCATTATATAGGCATCACGTCTAAGATTATTAGTGTAACACCCCGGGGATCATGCTACAGTAACCTCGCACTAATGATGCCATGTCATCAAATTTAACTAAGCCAAATTGCCACTTGATAAAAATCAAAGCCGTTTTCAAATTTAAAGTAAAGTCAAATAATTTATTTCTTCAAGCAGTACAACTAAAAAGTTCACTATATTCTATAAATTCCCCTGATCATGGTAATATTGAACACAACATTGTTTGACCCACCAATTAATTCCTAGGATCTTATGAAGTGGTTCAGCAACAAAATAGCTAGCCTTTTCTCTAAAAATGGGTAGACAACTCCTTTTGGACCCAAACTTTTTGTGCACCCTGGTAATATTGTGCTTAATCTATATTTCAAGCTTCACTTTTAATAAAAATCATCTGGTGCAAAGCTCAAATAGGAAAACAAGAGAAATAAATGAAAACAGAAAAATAAAACAACATAAAAAAGGAAAAGTGCCCCTGGCCCAACTGGGCCACGACTCAACTGGTCGCACACCCAACCGGCCCACCCTGGTCCACCTAACCCCCGCTACCCCGTAACCCTAGCCCCGCACGAACCGCACTCCCCCCACGCGCCCCCATTCCGCCCTCTGCCTCCTCCCGATCTAGATCGGGGGCAAGCAACCTGCGCCCGTCGCCGGCGCGTCGTCGCCCCGTAGCTACGTCGCCGGCCGCTGCCATGCTCCGCGCGCCCACCTGTGTTGCCGCCTCGCTGGAGCCACCCCGTCGCCCCCGTCGTCCTCTCCGTCGCAGAACAGCCCCGACCTCGGCGCCTTGTCCGCGTCATCGCTCGCCGTCATCTTCGTCTTCCTCCCCGCGCCCACTGCCATTTCCCTGCAACTGCTAGTGAGGTGTCGCGCCTTCCCTTTTCCCCCTAGGGAATCGTTGGAGAACGGCGCATCGTACGAACTTTCCGCCGGGCGCGACGCCAGTGGCGTCGTGCGCCCACGCAATCACCCCCCGCGCGAGACGCGTGTATTTGGTGGACCGAGGCAGACCGCCCCTTCCTGCCTTATCTTTTCCCCTCGCACTTCATCCCCTACCTTCAGCCACACCCCTCCCAGCGTCATGTTTCTTCTCTCCCTTCCATCTCCTCCTCTGCCCATCCCCTTCCTTCTTCCCTGCAGCAAAATAAGGCGAGGAGGGGTGCAAAAAGCTGGCGCGCGACGCGTCCTGGCTGCTGCAAGCAACCTTGCGGCAGCTGCGAGCGAACGCCATGGCTGGCTTCGAGCGCTCCTCTCCATGGTCGCCGCAGCCGAACGCGCTAGTCGCCATGGCTAGCTTTCGATTTCCTTCCGTGAGAGCTGCATCCCGGACGACGGTGGTGGTGGTGGAGCCGTTCAAGCGATGAGCTTCAACCGGCAAGGCCAGGACCTCACTGATCGGAAAGCTGCAACCGGCCACACAATATGCTGGAAGCAGTGTTCTCTGGAGCTGGAACCATCGTCCACTTTTGCTGCAATCAGCAACCGCCAGGGGGTGAAGAAGGCGAGGTACGGTGCTACTACCAAAGAGTTTTTTTTGCTGGAATCGGATCCTGGAGATGCTGGAACGATCTTCTATTTTTGCTGCAACCAGCAGCTGCCGGGGTGAAGACGTCGAGGTACGGTGCTACTACCATATAGTTTTTTTGCTGGAAGCGAACGGAGAAAAGGTTGCAACCTCTATTGCTCGGTGATGCATCGGGACGGTGTCGAGATGTGTTTTGCTGGAACCGGCAAAAAAAATGCTGGAACCCATAAGAACTTTTGCTGGGAAGATACACGAGAATTTTTGCAAGTACTCGACGCGATGGTGGTTCTTTTTTGCTGGATTCGATGATTTTTTTGCTGCAACCAGCATGTGATTTTGCTACTACTCGCAAACTAATGAAGTTTTGTGTTTTTGCCGAGGACAAGGTGCTTCGAACTGAACGACGGTGACGAGCGGAGGCGCTGGCGGTGCCCTAGGGATGTTGCAACCATGGCGACTAGAGCTGGAACCGACCGATGGGCGAGCTGCAGGCGTCAATGTCATGTGGCGGCCGAGGGATGAGTGCAGGTGGCACGGGTGGCCGGCGAGCAAGAGACAAGTCCTTTTTGGTGCCGGGGCCGGCGGTGCAGCGACTAATCCGGTCGAGCGGGGAGCGGCGCTGCCTCCGGCGAGGAGCGGTGTCGCGGCGGGGGACCATCTGTAGATTTGGTCAACGGGCACGAGCAGGAGGAAGGGCAAGGGCACGGGGAGAGCTGGGCGTCGGGCGGAATCTAACTGATCCGTAGCTCGCATCGTATGGCCGGGGTGCGACCGGCCCAAAGTTTGGGCCGGCGCACCGGCGCCTATCACCCCCCTTCCCCCTATGCCTCCACTGCCGTGTCGACCTTGCGTCGTTCGTGCGCGCACACCCCCTACGCGTCCTAGTCGCGGCCCGCTCGTGCCCACCTACCGATGTGCTGTGCTGCTACTCACGGCTGCCGTGCGCTGCTGCTTGCTCTGCGTGCTGCCGGCGTTGCTTCTCTACTGCTGCTAGCTGTTGCTGCCTCTGCACGCAGCGCCACCGAGCCGCCCCCTCGCCTGGCTGCGCCGTCGCCTAGCGCCGCACCGGCCGCT